TTCTGACAAAACAGCCTTCCTGTCTACTGCTCTGGTGGCGTTCTTTTTCAGGCCTCAGTTTTTATTTTTGTTACATGACAAAACGGAACTAACAAGACTTTGATCGTGTCCAGGTTAACTAGACACTGGTCTGTGTGTGTGTGTGTGTGTGTGTGTGTGTGTGTGTGTGTGTACCTTATGAGTGAGTGAATGCTGCCGTAGGTGGTGGAGCTGCACAAACTCCAGGCCACACTGGGAGCAGGTGTAGGGCCTGGGGCTCTGGTGCTTCAGGAGGTGGTTCTGCAGCTGACCGCGGTACGCAAACGACTTGTTGCACTCGGTGCACTGGAAGGTGTGAGGGTCTTGATGGCTGGTCTGATGGCGTTTCAGGTGGGCGTAGGTGGGGAACTCCATGCCGCACTGAGAGCACACGTGGCAGCGTCCACGCTCGTGCTTGATCTCGTGCGCGCGCAGTTCGCTGGGATAGGCAAAGCCGCGGTGGCAGAAGCGGCAGCTGTAGGGCTTGACGTCCGTGTGCTGGAGCATGTGTCTCTTCAGGTGGCTGGTCTGAGTGAAGCCCTTCTTGCAGACCGTGCATTTATGAGGTCGCGTGCCCTGGTGGGTTAGCAGGTGGGTCTGTAGATGACTGGGCTGCTTGAAGAGCTTCCCACAGTGTGGACAGGCGTGCGGCTTGATGCCACTGTGGCCCAGGATGTGCGAGACCAGGTTGTATTTGGACGAGTAAGACTTGTCACACATGCGGCATTTCCAGCGCTTCAGACCGTCTCCCACGTCCACACAGTACGATTCGTCAATCTGGATGTTGATGTCCAGACGGTCTACCCGTCGACCGCCGTGCCGACGCAGCGGCTGCGGAGGCGGAGGCTGCTGATGCTGACCTCCTCCACCACCATCTGTCCACATCATGCTGTGGCCGCTGTCCTCATACTCACCCCCCATGCCCATTTCCCCTGAATCATAGCTGCCCACCTCACTGCTCTGAAAGTAACTACTGATGGCTTCTTCCTGCTGGCTGGGCTTTATCATGTTGTTCCCTTGGTTTTCCGCCTCTTCCCCGTCCTCTCGGCCACTGCGAACATGGCCTCCCATGGGCCGGTGGCCCTGTAATGGCCTTTGACCCTGCTCCGCTCCTCTGTGGCCCACTTGGGGTGCGGGAGGAGGATGTCCGTGTGTGTTGGCTTGTTGCTGGTTAGTTACTTCCCGCTCACAATCTGCACAGTTCTTATTGGGGCCTCTGAGAGTCGTGGGATCCACCTGCACTAAACCACCCCGGGAAGCCATGTTGTTCAACATGTGAACACAGGGGGGCATTACAGAGTTTACTACCTCTCCTTTAATATGGGAGGAGGCTACGTCACCACCTTGGAGACTGTGGCGCTCTGGCCCAACCATCTTCCCATCAATGTGTTGTGGCGGCCCCTGCTGCCACCTCCTCTGACTGCAGCTAGGTTGCATCTGTCCGTCTTCTCCCAAGTTTTCTCCTAAATAATCTCCGTTGGCTCCAATAAGCTGGTCGGCGTACTCGTAGTCAACTCCGTCTACTGGCGGTGCAGGGGACTCTTTGGGTTCACCGGTGTAGAAGCCGTTGGGTGCAATAGTAGCTCCAAACACTTCATTCTGGGATATGAGACCTAGCACGGCAGCCTGGGCTAAGGACAGCACGACCACTGGATCTGTCTGTGTGCCTATGTCCACCAGCCTGGCCATTACCTTGGGCTCACATCTACCCAGGCGCCGGCTCGCCTCCTCCTGGAAGGGATTGAAGAGAAGCAGATTATAACGACAGAAAACCAAATACATTTGACTTTTTTTTATTTTTACTGCACAGTAATAATATCAGTATTTTTACCCAGAAACTAATTCAAGTCCAAATATAATTTAATTGGTGATGGAAAAAAAACCCATGATTTTAAATGTGTTATTTCTACAAAACTATTTTTAGTGAATCTGAACAACAGTGGCTGTTGTCAATATCACACCGTTTGCCAATTATAACAACTTGGAAATAAAACTGTCACAAAGAACACGGTTCTATTGTCTGACTGCCTGAAATACTTGATTGATTCCCAGGAAGATATTGTTGGTTGTAGTTGCTGCTGGAAGAGCATTTTAAAAAGAAACAAAATAAAAATGAAGGTTGTTGTAGTCAAAGATACATGTGTTTACAGTACAGCATGTATGAAAATACATTTACAGTTTCAGTAACTTTACTGTGTTACTGATAACACTGGAAGAGACAGACGTTAAAGAGAGTGATGGCGACAGGCAGGGGGCGCTCTGTGATGCGCTTGTTTCTATGTGATCTTAAAGAACCTTCTCTGGTCTCAAGGAGGAAACACCAGGACTATAGAACTGGATGATCGGAGTTCAGCCGTCCATGTGAGGCTGGTGTACGAGTGAGGGACTACTGGGCTGAACACACACACACACACACTCATCTGAGTACAAGACGGGGGAGAGGAAAAAAGACTAAGAACCAAGATTAGGAAATAAAGAAACAGGAAGAAAAAGGAGGGGGAGGAGGGAGGGGGAGGGGGGGAGAGAGAAAGAACGAACGAAACAGCTTAGACCAAGTCATGTGAATGGAGTGGGGGGGGTGGAGGGAGAAAAAAGGTAAGGAGAGAATAGAAGTGATAAGGGGAGGAGAGACACGGGGGGGGGGGATGAAGGAGGGGGGAGGAGAGCCGGGATAAAGAGGCATAGAAAAGGGAGGGAGGGAGGGAGAGAGAGAAAGAAGGAGAGTTGAAGAGACCAAAGAGTGAGAGGATGAGTGTGTGTGTGAGAGAGAGACAAAGACAGAGGGAGGGAGAGAGAGAGAGGAGGAGGGAAGGGAGTGAAAGAGTGAGAGGATGAGTCTGAGAGAGATAAAAAGACAGACAGAAGAAGGAAAAGAGAGGGAGGGAGGGAGAGAGAGAGGGGGTGAGTGAAAGAGTGAGAGGGTGAGTGTGTTTTGTGTGTGAGGGAGGGAGAGGCAGTGAGAGCAATAGAGAGAGAAAGATTGAGAGGGTGAGTGTGAGGGAGCAAGAGGAAGAAAGAGGAAGAAAGATGTTGAGACATAGGGAGAGAGAGAGAGAGAGAGAGAGAGAGGGAGGGGACAAGCAGTCAGCAACCTGGAGACAGAAGAAGAAAGAAAATGACAAAATGAAAGCCAGACAGAATGAAAGATAGAAAAAAAACTGTGGAGCAGACGAAAGAGAGGAGAAGAAAAAAGGAGGAGGACAGAGTTGATGTTCGGATCACGAGGAGAGGAGGAAATGAACGACTTCACTCAAACACAAGCACATGGCAACTTTGAACAAACAAACAGTCCATCAAATGTGGCATTCAAGTT